CTTTTATTTATCTGTTTCTTTGTATCTCAAAAAAAAAACATCGTTCAAATTCTATAAAAATTATAGTAAATTTATTTTAATGACTAACCAAACTAAAGTATGACATCATACAAAATTTTAATTAAAATATCATTATTTCTAATGATAGGTTTGAAAATAAGTTTATAGTTAAAGGTGATACATAATTAGCTCATCAGAATAAAAAGAAGACATGGAGAAAAAATTTCATTAAATATTATTAAAAATTTCAATCATTTTTGATTTAATCTCATGATAAATTAAATATAAAAGAAAGGATTTTGTAAAAAAAAATGAAGTTAGAATGATGTGATATAGCTAGTATTGTGAAATAAAAATGTCTATGTTAAATAAAAGTGATAAAAGAAAATTTCAATTAAATAGTATTTCAATATATAAAGAAATAAGTAAAGTATAATTTAATTAATACTATTGCACAAGAGATAGTTAAAAATGAAAATATAAAAACAATTATTTACATTTTATTATACGTAAATATAATTAAAGAATGTAATTAAGAGTTAAACAAACTTCAAAAATTTAATAGACATAAATTATTATAAAAACTTATTAAAATAAAAATAGAGAGATAGAAAAAACAATAAAAGATAAACATGATACACCAACAAAACTTGTGTAAGTAGAATCAAATAAGATTTATAAATGAATTAGAAAATAACATAAATTTAATAATTTAATGATCAATAAATATTAATACAAAAATAATTAAAGTTAATCAGATTTAAGCTGTAATATTAGACCAAAGAATATAATTTTTGAAATTTTTATTTTTTTTTTTTTGAATAATTCAAACAAAAAGAGAACCACCACTCAAACTATCACACAAAACAATTAATAAAGATAAACAAGTACCAACAAATTCTAATGAGAAAATATAAGAGATTCATGATGAAGAGTGTAACAAACTTGAATTTATCCATCAGTTATCTTTTCTGTAATGAAGAATAAAAATGGTATACCACCTATCTAGTTGATATGAAAAATACATACATAAAACTCAAAAATAATAAATTACATGAACAAAAAATGAATTAAACAATAATCAAATAACAAAAGATTAAAATAGAATTATCAAACTAATAAAAAAAGAAATGATATCAATGGTAAGAGTAAGACATAGCACAAACAGAAATAAAATAACATACAAAAAAGATTCAAAAAATAATCGATTAACAATAAAGAGAATAAATCACTAGATTAAAAATGAAAGAGAATAAAATGAAATAAAGAAAGAAGATAAAAGAAAAAATAAAAAAGTAGATTAAAAAAGATAACATGGTATTAAAAAAAGATAAGAAAAGAATAAGATTAATGATAAATATGATAAGATTAAAGAAGGAAATAAAAATAATAAAATGAGTTAAATAAGTATTATTATAATTATTCCTTAATGTTTCTTATTTTATACAGAATAATCCCATAGTTAAATTAAAGTTAAAAAATAAACACATAAAAAAGATTATATAAATAATAGTAAAAAGAGAATTGATGTAAGCAGAAATAAAGGGTAAAATATTTTACATCAATAAAATAATAGTTTTTATTATTTTGCTCCTAAAAAAAAATAAAAAATAAAAAAGTAAATTAAATACTCATTCTATAATCATTTATATTTCTTTATATTTTATATCATTTTATGATAAATTGTTCTGAAATATAAATAATTCAGAAATGATATTTGATTCAATGTAATTATACATTTTTATTATTATGTTATTATTATTTTATTAATGTATTTTATTTTTATATATTTATATATTTTATTATTATATTTATTTTTATTATTATATTATGTATATCATCATTTTATCTATATATTTTATATTTATCATGTTTTATTACTTTTATATTCTTATTATTTATATTTTATTTTATATATTAATACACTTCTATTTATATATATTTTCTTATATATTAATATATTTCTTTATCTTATTTTCATTTTGATTATATTTTTATATTTTATATCTATTTTCTTTTTATATTTATTATTATTTTATTTATATTATATTGATTTTATTTATCTTTTCATTTATATATTTTATTTATTATTATATCATTTCTCTTATTATTTCTTTATCATTTATTATTATTTATTTAATTTTTATATCTTATATCTATATCATATGAATTTATTATTTATTATATATTACAATTATATATTAATCATATAATATTTATAATTAATTATATTATATTTTTCTTCTTTTCTCTTCTTTTTTATATTATTTCTTTTTTTATTTGAATATATTTGTTTTTGTATTTTTGTTATTTATTTTATTTCTTATTTTTTGTGTTTATTTTATTCTTATTTATCATATTTATCTTTTATATTATGTTATATTTGATTTTATTAATTATATCATTTAGTATTTTATTAATATAAATATTATGTTTATTATTTTATTATTTATTTATTTTTATTATTTATTTTATCTTTTCTTATTATTCTTTTATTATTTTATGTTTATTATATTTTATTTTTTTATTTCTTTTTCTATCTATTTTTCTATTATTTTTATTTATTATATATATTTCTTTTATTCTTATTCTATTATTATTTATATTTTTTATTTATTTTATTTATTCGATTGTTTAATAAAAAATATATTCAATTTTATTATTTGTTTATTTTTATTATTTATTTTTATTTATATATTAATTTGATTATTATATTTGTATTATATCATTTTTATATTTATTATTATTTATATTTTGTATTATTATTTATTTATTATTATCATTTTTATTTTTATTTATCATTTTATATTATATTATTCATTATTTCATGAATTTAATATTCATTATGAAATCATTTATTAATCATTTCATTTATAATGATATATTAATTAAATTATTTTGTTATATCACATTGATTATTCAATATTTAATGATAGAATTTAATGATATAAGATTAATATAATAGATATAAATAAAA